AAGCATCGTCTTGACATTCGACGGCAGTACCCCATCCCTGAGCCTGGCCGGAGCCTGTGATTCTGTCAGCTTGAATTCCGTCCAGGGTCTTGCTAGCTGCTGGCCATCAGCAAGCCATCGTGTATGCGACCTCAAGCCGTTCGGAGGACACACAAGAGTCACAGCTCTTCGAGGCCAAGGACGGTGACAATGGCATGATGGCCACGTACCGATGTCCTGTTCAGGAAAGAGTCCAAACTGGCGCGGATACGAGAATTCGAGAGAGTGCCAAAGGGTTGGGTATCGCAACATTGAAAGTGGAGTTGAACCGTTTCACGGATGCCCGCCTTGGCCCGAATTGACATCGGCGGGCCCTCCCTGTCCGGAGCTATGATAAAAGAATGGAACCCCGGAGCCGCATCTAGATTGATATCCCCACCAAGACAATTCAAGCCCGTCGCTTAGAGCTTGTTCGGCATTCAACAGCCGCTTGAGCTGTGTTTTATTGCCCTACAAAAAGCAGAAGGTCATTCAAGCTGTTATTAGGCGGGCAGCAGGGCGAGAGTTGCCAACAAAGCGGAGGCGAGGCAATCTTGACTTCACGCAACTTAGTCAAACGGTCTTCAACACGCGCACAGTGAGGGGAGCTCGATCTCAGGCATTTATGACTCGATTAATTAAAGGACAAGAATTCTTTAACTACGATTTGGCGATACCGAGATTACTGCGGTTAAAAGGTAACAGGTTCCGACCCGGTGGTGCGACCTACCTCAACCGTCAAGAAGTTCAGGAAGACTTCGGTCTTCCAATGTTCGAGTTCCCAGACTGAGAGTCTAGTGGTCCTGTCGGGAATCCATGATCCGTCTTGGCTGGGATGCCAACATCGCGCTTGAACCGTCGTAACCATTCAAGGTTGTCTGCCGATGTTTGATTCCAAGGATCGCCACTGAAAGAGATTAGCAAGAGCCTAAAAAGAGCCGTTCCCCTAGGAGTCTTGTCCAACTTACTCTTCAAAAACAATGAAGCGAGCTTGATGCTGTAGCTCCTGATCTGTGGGGATATGGCAATTGGGGTTGTTCGGTGACATGGTTGATGCAACCCAACGTCGGAGCTCAAGGGCCAGCCACCGGTTAAAGTTGGCGTCATTGAAGAAGGCATAGTTGGCCTTTACCGTAGACAATGCTGGCGGAAGTTCCAAGTCCATCTTGTCTTCCTTCATACCCGGGCTGACTCGTCCCTCCCATGGTGCATTGGCGTTGACACCAGGAGGAGACGGCACAGCATCTGGTGACGGCACCAGAGACGCAGATGCGTGGGTATCAATGCCCATTGTCAGAGCTGCCGATTCAAGATCACTAGTAAATGCGGAATCGAAATCTCCCAGTTGAGATAGGAAAGAGCTGCTTTCTTCATTCAACAGGCTGTTGAAGCACCCATCGTGAGTACTGGGCCCGGTGTGGTCGGTACTGTCTTGCAGAAGTGGTTCATTGAAAGGTCTTCCCCGGTTCCCAAGAGTCCTTGGCTGCAATTGTTGAATTGGAGACTTGGTTGAGCTTTCGGGGGAAGGAAGTCGTTTTCTGGCCCTAAAACCCGCGAGCCACTCCGTCGATGAGCCGATCAGGTTGATGAGCCAGTTGGCAATGAAGTCAGATGGCGAGACTCCACATTCCTTGCCCATTCCCAGCACAATCTTGGAGGCTTCGTTCTGCAACTCCAGATCAGTAATGGTACCCAGGCCCAATACGCTTCGGGCATCAACAAAGCTTTGGAGTTGCGTCTCGCAAGGACAATCCTCGAAAAGGCTACGTTTGCCTTTGATCTGGGCGCTGTTAGCGGCAATGGGACTTGACTTGCAAAACAGATGGGCACTTACTTGAAGAACGGCCATCATGCTTTCGGCGACTGATCTGATTGGTCCGAATCGAGCCTTCCGAGTAATTTCGCCCGACGATGTGATCAAGTCCCGCACCCACGACGCATGCAAAGCGCCAATGTCGTACTCCAGGGACGACGATATCTCCGAGGCAAAGATGATACGGCAGGCTTCCAGTTGTATTTCCTTGTTGTCAGGCATGTTTCCTGTCTTGTCGAAAAACATTCGCAAGAAGTGGTTGAGCTCAAGGGTGAGCAGCCCGAACGCGTTTCTAGGAGACTCTGGAGGGGTTCCGCTAGCCTGGTAGGGAAATGGCGAAAAGCGCTCGTACTCGATCAGATCTGTCAAGTCAGCAACGGTTCTTTCACATGTGCAGTCGAAGGAGGCTTACATGGAGGCACCGAGTTTTCAACCATATCCAACACAGCTTCCTCGAAACCCCAGTCACCCTTCCAGTTTGCCATATCCTGTCCCATCTTGAAGTGGTCTGCCAAGTGGTCTGCTCTGAAAGACCAAGTATCCAAAATTGCACCACAAAAACCACAACGAGACCTGATGTCTGGGACAGCGACCCTCCAAAGCTTGGCAGACCAGTCAAGCAGGCCGGCATTATGAACCAGGCGTAGGTGTTGCTTCAAGTGATCCTTTCGGTTGAACGTGCGTTCCTGGCAGGCGGAAGGGTTGTGATTGTTGATGTGCTCTTGGCTTGGCTCAACCTCGCCACAAAAGACGCAACAGACCTGACCCGTATCTGGGTTGACAGTCTTTGGTCCACCCGGCGAGCACACCCATTTCTCGAGAGGCATGTGAAGAGACTTTTCGTGTCGTTGCCAATCGTGCTTGGTTCTGAACGTCTCGGTACAAAAAGTACACTGATACTGGTTTCGGGGAAATGCAAGTGAAGTTCGCTTCGCGCGCCTTCGTTGTCGCACACGGCCTCGGGGCGCCGGACGAGGGACGGGTACAGAGTTCTTGGACTGGTTGGAGTATGCAGATGCAAACGATCCTCCACTTGACGTTCCTACGCTGCTTGCCGAAGATCGATGCGACCTGGGTGGCTCGTCGTCAGTGTAGCTGGCGTTGTAACTCTCGTCTACATCTTAGGTCTGTATTAGCCACTATGAGTTTATACAACAGGAGAAATTGATGGCGATTTCCAAGTATGCGACCTTACCCGAAGACTCTGCGTGGGTGGAAGCAACAGCCCGCGCGATCGCCGTCACTGTGGCTGGCTCATGTTCCGGAGGAGAGTCAACCCAACGCTCTAGAGGGTTCAGACTCTGGTAACGGTGGCTCATTCTTGGTGCCGGTGTTCCTGGCCTTCTGGGTACATCGATTGGTCTAGTTGAGCTTCCTGAGTATGGCGAAATTGACCGTTGCCGGCTCTGCACCTTGCCACGGCGTCGGGCATTGATGAGCCAGTTGGTGATTTGAGTCTTGCTAAGGCCCGTTTGATGCTGAAGGATCTTCTTCTCTTCGTCGTTTGGGTACGGATGGTGTGTATGAGAAGAGAGCCACTGTCTTAAGATTCTAGTTGAGTCTCGAGAGAATCTTGTGCCAATCTTTGGTGGGGGCGGGGTAGAAGTGTTCGGTATCGTGACATTGTCAAAAGCGCCACTCGATCTCTTCGAAGCCTCTGGTGTGGGAGGTGCTTGCATGCCGGCCAATGCGGGACTGCTGCCATCAATGAGGTTACTGATCCCTTCTCCAGAAGCACCTGCTACGGCTTCTGTGAAGCTGCACTCGCACCCAAGCGACGCGCATGGTACACAGCGACCTTGGGACTCACGTTCTTGTGCTGTTTGACACTGATAGCCCCAGGTGATACAGTTGGAGCAGGATGCCAAAGGAGTGATCCACCCGCTTCCCAGCCCGTCGCCCATGTAATCTAGGGCCCCCTCGAAGTCGAATGGAGAATTCCCGCTGCTGAAGGGCTCAAAAGATGTGAACTGGAGGGCATCATCGCAGGAAGAGATGTCACCGAGAGAAAGGTTGGGTCGAGAGTCCTGACCGGGTGAGGCCAACGGAGGAATAATATTCTGCTCCCCAGCTGCCGAAGACGTCTTGTCGTTGAATTGGTCCATTTCTCCGCCGTTGCTCTGAATCTGCCACCACTCCACTGGCTGCGGCGGAAGGTCGCTGCGAAGATAAGACACCACCCCTGCCGATAGCCTTGAACGTCGGATATCGATACTGATAGCGGGCGAACTTCAACTTAAGATAGGGCGTAAGGCGTGCTGCCCCGGAATAGTGGCACGACGTTGCCGAGAGATGTTTTGCACAAGTGAAAGAGGGAGGAGCGGTGCCAAAAGTCAATCGGCCGCTTCATGCATTGACTCGACGCGGTGACCTAAAGACACAACGGCCCCACCAAAGCGCTCTTCATGATTGGATGAATCCTCAATGTGTCAAGTGCGCCTTACACTAGAACCGCGTCAATTGGCTCCATCGCCCAAGCTTGTTAGTCAGTAGAACTTCAAGTCCGAAGCCGGCCGTAACCAAGAACATTGCATGGCACTACCTTGAGGCCCGATATCAATGATGGCTCGATCGATGCCCGGTAATTGTTTTGATTTGTTACTATGAATGAACAGGAATGTTTCAGAGTGTTAAACTCGTCTCATCGCCTAAGGGGATCTTGACTCTCAATTATTACTCTTTGTCAGTTGAAACAATCAAATGGTCGTAACACGGGCTCATCGTGCTCATGATTCATGCCTCAACCAGTACATCTTAGCCACAGAAGAGTTTTTAATGATTATCTCAACAGGTGAACATCAAGACTTGATGATTCTCTGAACAAGCGGACATTAAAGTAAAAATCGACAAATTTAGTGCGTCTCGTGTGTCATATAGTCCCCGGTTTTCCGCAAGAACGCACCTCGTCAGTTGTCAGGCGCGCCTGACAGGGTGAGGGTCCTTCCTAATCCGGCAGCTCCATCACAAAATTCGAGGTGAACATGGCGAAAGCCGTAAATGAGGACGAAGCCCGAAGGATGAAAACCGGGAGCTATTGAGACATCTATTCCGCCGCATTGTGCCATATCTAACATCTGTCATTCTTTTTGTGATCGGTGATCTGAAGAGCTTTCTTTTGAATCTTTACGTCATGGATACACCAGGTTCCCTTCATTGCAGCCCTGCAACCATGACCACGACATTAGAGGCCGATTGCGAAAATCAGCATCATAATGAAGCAATCCAAAAATCATCGAAAGAAGAATTAGAGCTTTCCCGCTGGGTATGCGTTGTTGGTTTATCGCTTTTTCTCGCTTCATCCTTCGGTAAGTAAACCTTTCACTAATTTATCACGATGCTCAAGTACTTATTATTGAATTTACTAGGCTTCTCGCAGTCTATCGGAACTCTTCAGTCTTACCTGCAGCTAAATCAGTTACAAAAATATTCTGCAAGAGATATAGGCTGGATCACTGGGCTCGACACTGCTCTCGCTTTGCTGTTTGGTCTTCAAGTCGGACCTCTGATGGATCTCTATGGGCCCAAATTCTTGGACCCAGTCGCGATAGCACTCACAATGTCCAAGTTCTTCTTCTTGGCTGAATGCAAGGAGTACTGGCAATTCCTGCTCTGTCTAGGTTTTCTCAGTGGAATTGGTCCCGCCGTATCCTCATCGCTGGCAATATCTTCGATTGGCAAGCTATTTTCTCGACGGCGTGGTTTGGCGATGGGTGCAGCCTTGGCGGGCTCATCATTTGGCGGAGTCATATTCCCTCTTATTCTTTGTCGAACTCTACCAGAAATAGGCTGGGCTTGGAGCTCCCGAATGCTAGGGTTTATTATTCTTGGTTTCACGTGCGTCGGGTCACTGTGCCTTCTGCCGTTCACCCGCCTGGCTATCCCAGAAGTCCGCAGCCATCACCTTTGAAGCGTTCCGATCCGCCCCGTTTTTATTTATAACAGTTGGCCTTTTCTTGTTCGAAATCTCAATCATCGGGATTGGCGTTCTCCTTCCTACGTTCGCGGTTGAGGCCGGCTTTCCCTCCAGCTCGGGGTTCACCCTCGTTGCCACTCTGAATGGCTGCTCCTGCCTGGGTCGTCTTTTACCCGGCTTTGCGGGAGACCATGTCGGTCATTTCGATGTCATTCTCTTCATGGTAACGCTCACTTCCGTCTTCACTGCGGTTCTGTTTGTTCCTTTCGGCACTAAGTCGGTGGGTGTTCTGTATGCTTTTGCCGGGCTATGGGGATTCGGATCGGGGTCTTTTCTCTCTATTACACCAGGTCAGAGCCTATCCAGCAGGCCATCATGTTTCTGAGCTGACAGTGTTCTAGTTTGCGTTGGGAAAATATGCGACCCCAAGGATTATGGAAGATATTATGGTAAGTGTTCCACAATGTTCTCGGCATACTTGCTTTTCTCCACGTTGTCGAGTCACGCTTACATTTGTCTTAAGGGACTTGCACCTTCGTCGTTGCTTTTGGTGCTCTAGGCTCTTTGCCCGCTGGCGGCGCTTTGTTGGAACAGGTGGGACCATTGGTGGCTTCCGCACTTTACCTTGGTACAGTGGTGCTGGGCGGTGCTTGCTTCTACGGCGCACGCTCACTGTTGATCAAGAAGTGGGTTGTGTTCAGGTCAAACATTTGAACTGAATGCTGGCTGCCTGGTTACGTTTCATCACGTCGTAAAATCTCTGCTGCTCAACCTGGGTATACCTGCTACAAATCTCTATAGACATTTGAAATCTCAATGATACTCGTAATGGTATCCCTCCGCCAAGTTGCTGGGTCCGGGCCACGCGCAATCTCGAGACTGCGGCTTGCCATGTCCATATTCGACGAGCGACTATTGCCTGCTTCCACATCCGATCGATCACCGTGCGACGTACTACCCTCCCCCGCCACTTGCTCGGCGCCTACTGCCAGTCTCTCTTGACTGTCCTTCCCGACCACTGTAACCTCGGTACGAGTACCTCGAGTTATATTCGTTATGTTCGTTATATGTGTGAAACCCATCTGCGTTAAACTGTATGGGTCCGGCTTCTTTTGATTCGACATCCCGCTGCTCAGCTCATTCCCTTCGGACCCTTGACTAGACTTTGGCGTCCACCGGATTCTCGTCTGTTGCCAAAATCTCTTCTTGAAGATTGGGACGACCATTGGTGCTTGACCAACAAAGATGGCCACGAAGTCTTCTCGGATTGACCACATAGCGCCAGGCCCGAACTGTCCGGTAGGCTGTTGAGAGAGCATGGTTAGATCCTGAAGAATAGAAAAGGAACTTGGGTGGGACTTACGTGAAAGATCAGAATTACGCGGATGATAGCAGCAGTCATAACGAAAACTCCGAGACTGAACAAGAAATATACGCCGAGTCTACGCCATATCGAAGCACGAACGAGACTGATTACCTACAAAAAAATAGATCAGCACTGACATAACACAGCACTAGCTTCGTTGCCCTTACTGGTATAGGAATGAGGATAATACACATGTCGGTCGTCAGGTTGAAAGCTAGGATGCTGTAGAAGTAGACCTTATTCTGCGGGACGCAATTTTCTGGGCGCTTGGTAAGCCATACTTGTTTGTTGTCTTAATCCAACCCGACATACCTCCAGGGTCTGGTCGTATTTGCCACATAAGGGTTATTGGTCGGCAGGTCAAGAAGATGATGAGTACCATCGCGATCGCAGTCGCTCCAACCAGGCCCATGACGGGGAAGATGAACTTTTCTACCCACTGTCCTTCGACTAGCCGTCGGTAGAAGAACAACACTGTGGCAGAGATGTCAGTTGGTACTGATAGCAGAACAGGAAGTGGACATCGTGTCTCGTACTGTTGAACTTTAGGGTCCAAACGATCGTCGCATAGCAACACATCCCCACTACGAAGTTCTTCGACCCATATTCCCATAGGTAACTAGAGATTGCATAGCATCAGCGCCCGCGGGCCTCCTCAAATTGAACATAATCCAAAGTACTAGTACACGTACAATTCGGATTCTGGCATCATCTCCCGCTGCTCAGGTGTCAAGAGTGAAGTATGTTTTCCTTGGGCGACCAACACGAACATGGTCGCCATAGTCGATACCGTCGTGTACACAGCCTAGAATTCGGTAGGTCAATCCTCAGTTGTATTGTCCATCACGAAATGCTCCTACCCAAGCAAAGAAGACAAGATAGTCGTCCGGCCGGAACCCCGAGACTCCAACCATTTTCGTGCGACAGAAAACCCTCAGCGCAATCATCGTAGTCGCAATCGCGTAGAGCAACCAGATTTCGGCGATGCTTGGATTTATCTCCATGACGGATCGACGTTGCGAGCACGCTGCTCTGTTTTAGTCATCGAAGAGTTGTCATCGAATTCACGTTCGTGATGTTGGTTAGCTAGGCAACCTGTGAGGTCGTCAGAACGAAGGGGAGGAAGCATGCTCTTTGAATATGCGGAGGCATCATGGTTTGAAACGTTATTTGCTGCCCTGCCGGCCGAATGCTTGTCGGATTTTGAGGCAAGGGTGCAGCAGCAAACTTCGCGGGCTGTGACACCGCCCGAGGTCCACGTACCCGACTGCTTCACTTAAGCAGAAATTCTGCGAGTCGTGTTTGATCCGCAACGGCGGTAACAATGACTTGACCAGCGGTGACTGCCGTGGTTCCTTTCACATCGCGTGGCAACTTGGCCTGGTCATGCCGATTACGACCTGAGCTTCCTTATCGCGGCACGTTATAGTGTGTTCCAAATTCTGAGGAGGCCGTGTTGACATGGCCTGTATTTCATAAAACGCATGGTTTCGTGATAAAGCGATGAAACGGGCGGTTGACTGCTCGATCGAGTGTATTGTAAGTGTACCAGCGACTTGCACGGTGATCGGCGAAATCACCCCAAGATCATCGAGTTCCAGAAGCTTGGTTCATAATATCCTTCATCCCATGGCTCACGTAACGACTAGAACAAGTGATAGCTCGGCAGGGTAGCGGCCGAGCTCACCAGCAACTCCGGCAAACACACCTGTCACCACCATCACGGACCACGTGTGAGAAGGTTGAAAGTTCCCCATTCGTTGGCATATGGTTCAAATTTTGCCTGCTTTAACCCCAGTCGCTGGTTCGGCGAGTTCAGCCACTTTTCCGACCTTCGGCATACTCAAATTTGTCCCATCTATCGTAGAGCTAGGAAAGTGAACGAAGCGAATCCGACCAGCTTAGAGCTACTCGATTCGCGCATTTGAGGAAGTTTCCTGTGAAAGATGCGAACCTTAACTCTCCCAAGGCTGTGAAGATACTGCAAACCAGCATACTCGAGTCATTGGTGTGCAGATACTGTGACACTGCATCCGCATATTGATGTTCATCCAAAAGCGATTCGTACCAACAGCGACCTATACGACGTTCGCACATGTCTTTGATGGTCCTCCCCAGAAGTAAACTCCGCCTCCAGGGAGTATCAGACTCTGCTGAACTTTGTGGTCGGTTAAATTCTGTCCCCAGACGGGGGAAGTTTCGTTAGGGTCCCTTGTGAACCGTCCATATCTCAGTGAAGCAGCCAATAATCGTCGGGCCAATCCGGCGGATGGCTCGCGTCCGTCCACACCGAAAAGACCAAGCTTTAAAGCCTGAACTCTGCTTTCGTTATACCAGGTCGGACCCTGACCCGAATCCTGGGGATGGGGTGATCAGGCGGACGGACTACGGGGAAGCCCCTCATCCCGCCGAACCTCAACTCCGAGCGTTTTTTACGACCAAAACGCACAATTCATTCACGTGAAGGAAACGTAGAACATGCGTATGGCCGTTCTAGAACTTGGAGATCTTGCTGCGACCATATCACCAACTTGGAAGATCAAAAATGCATGTCGTCAAAATTCATTGTTCATTGGATTGTGGCCTGGTTTTGGTTCAGTGAGCAGGAAAGGGATCAAATTACAGCTGCTGTAAGTTTAATGCAATCAAACTGAAATTTGAAGACCAGATTCTTCCAGCAACGTATCTAGCCAAAATACAAGCATGCCTATGAACTTCCACAAGGTCGATCATTCGACGATGCACACATTTCGCTTGGGCGAAGTACCAAGCGATGGTGTCTACGAGTGAGCCCATTATTGACTCTCTAATTCACGGGAACACATGGCAACCTGATAACCGCTCAGGCTTGCAAGATAACCTCCCAAATGAAAGCTTGAGTACCATGGAACACACTCCGAGATCTTCCCGAGATAGGTATGTTGGACCGTTTGCCGGCCTAGCCCTGCCACTCCGTGCGGCTTTCCATGCTACCACATTCGATATACTTAAGGCTGGCAAATGCATCTTATCTGCGTAAGGAATTTTGGACTTTTCACCAAATATCTCAATCACGACTGAAACATTGACATGACATGGTCTTCCTCCGTCTCCTGACAGGTCCCATCCATTCTTCAAAATGGCTCTCGGGAAGTTGTTTGAGAAATTGGACCAACGATAATCCCAGGAAATCTGGACTTCATTGCTTGTTCTAGAACTGGTCAGTGAACCGTTGAGGAATATCAATATCGTTTAGCCGCTGGCCCTTTAGAAGCGTCGTAGTCGCCGAAAAGATGGACTGAGTCGAACCATTGGATATACTGTCAACACTGACGTCCACACCATTGAGACTGCTTCTGTCTTCCCTGAAGACGCCAATATGGTCCACCAAGAGCCCAGTGGCGACAATGTAGTCAGCAGATTTGGTCCTTGGCTAGAACCTTAGAGTCAGCTACGAGACACTTAGCCTGATTGAATGATAACATCCATGTCTTTTTACTTTGTTCATATTCTAGACCAATGATATTTCTATTCTGAAGAGACAAGCAGCGAAAGGTCTCTTCGTGGTTTGCGAGTTCGCAGGAGGCCAAACATTTTCATCTTGTAATCTATCACCCGAAGCTATTTACAACCAAATAATTACGCAAAAGCAGGACTCTTCCATTTTAGAGATCGGTAAAGACGTATTTCTGGGGCGGTACCTATTCCTTTGCGACAGGGATAAGACTTCACACGAGGGTCTCAGCTAGCACAAGGTCAGTGCATTTGCTGGCGCTGCGTAGTCAATGGAAAGGATCATTTGGGGGGTGTTGAAATGGGCAAACTTGGATGCGCACAATCTGACAGTATTGGTATCGCTATAGCCTTGTCACTTGTGCCAACTTCTCTGGAATTTGGAATCATAATCAAACACCCAAGTTATTGGGAAGTAAGTTTTTGAAGCGGTCAAGGCCAACTTTTGCCTACATTTCATGAACACTTATCTCAGAAACTGTCATTCAAGGCGGGAAATTGTTTGGGTCGACGGTTGCCAACTCCGCTAAGGGCGCACTGTGCCTTTTTGATGGTTTTGCTCACGGCAGTAACTGCCATCGCAGAATTTTCATGACTTCTGCGTCTTTTGTTGGATATTTATCCAAACATAACAATCCAACTCTCCAGGCCACGCATGTCGCAGACAAATGGACAACGGCAGCACAGGCTCTCACAAACGTAATTCCGGGCTGCTATCTGCATTCATAGGCAATTAAAATAATTACCAGAGACGGCAGCAGTATTAAATGCATAAGAGCCTATTATATCCTGTAATTCCGCCTCTTGAGTGCTCTTGATGTAAGGTAGGTCATGTTCGGCAGAGCTCACATTTAGCGTCGACGGAAGCACTCAACAAAGAGCCTAAGCAAATTCATGGTGCTTTGGAGCAAGTAAAAGACACAGCGTTTACATGAGGCAGTAAATAGAGTTTGAGTGTCATGTTGCTGACTGTGCCTCACCAGAAGCTAGACAGTGAGCGCAGCCTCCAGAAGAGCATTAATAGACGAAAACTTACGACGACCCAGCACCAATCTCTAGAAAGCTTTCGACTACCAAAGGGTACCAAGGCCTAAGGCGCGTTTGCATGCGCAAAGATAATGAACTACCATCCACTAAGACTCTCGGCAATATCCTACTGGCTTGAGCTGTGCAGGCCGAAAGTCTGCAGCGTGCTGCCACCGTGTTTGCGTCTTAACATATATCTATTAGACTTTAGGAATGAAACACGCCCAATATTTTCGTCCGTTTCCTCATCCATTTACTGCACCGTCTGTAGTCAATATGGTTTGATTTGATAGTGATTGATCAATCGTATCGCTCAAATTGCTCCAAGCTTTCTGTCAGATCGGCCGTTACTTCCTCCGGCCAACACATTGAGGGGAGAAGATCAATTGATGTCATACCTACATCCAATTCTGGAAATACGGTCATCGTTAATTCCCGTTCGCCGAAAGAGTGAGCTTTGAAGGTTTCGATGCTTGCGTTTCTGTTCTATCGTGGCACATAAAGCCATCTACAAAGCCCACTGCTGTGCATTTTGGTTAAACCATTTGGATCAAGTGTTACAGAAATCGATCATATCAGCAAGGATCTCATATTACAGACAAAATAGTACCATTCCTCCTGGTAACTCATCTTCCGCGCCCCTTCAGGTTTCATCTTTGTCATCATCATGGCTCAGAGCACAACCCACGCAAACGGCGTACAAAACGGAAGCCCCGGACCAGCCCAGGACTTCATCCGCGCTGCCAAGAATGTCACAAAATACACGTTCAAAGATGAGGAAGAAAGAATGGACACGCTTTCTGCAGCATATGAAGTTATTGGCAAAGTGGAGACTTCATGGGACACCTACGTCCGCATGCTACTGAATCAGGTAGTATCCTCAATCTCCGCGAAGGCCGTCCGATGCTAATCGGACTTGTATTGTAAGCCGGCAACTGTTGGTGTTCTCATGGCTCTGAAGGACTTGAGACTTTTCGAGAAGTGGGAAGAGCACGGAAACGTGCCCATGACCAGCTTACAGCTTGCAGACATAGTCGGGAAAATTGAGCCTGCCTTACTTCGTGAGTCCGCATATTGCCTGTATTTACGAGACTGCAACTTAGGAAATCCCGCAAGATCGATTTCTGCGCCTTCTAGCTGCAAACTACCTTGTGGAACAAATTCCGGTTGACAGATTTCAACCGAAGGAACTCTGCATGGAACTCAACAAGCCTTTCGGGGCGCTTCTCGATTACTTGTGAGTCATGACACCACAGTGAAGCTTTCTTTATTCTGACTTCCACAGCCGCTTCGCTACCCTTCCAATGTACGGTGAAATGCCAAGAATATTGGCTGAGATGGGCTACAGAAACCCAGTTGATGGTACGGATACCTTGTTCCAGAGAGTTAAGAATCACAAAGGAAGTTTGTGGTCCTACCTCAAGGAACATCCCGAATTTGGCGAATCTTTCAACATGGTACAAAAGGTCTCAACAGGTAAAGAGCAACCGTGGATGGACATGTACCCCCACAAGAAGCTGGTAGACGAGTCGGATCCCAACCTACCTTTATTTGTGGACGTTGGTGGGGGTATCGGCCACGATTTGACGAGGATGTACAACGTATATCCCGAGACGGCTTCGAGACTTTACCTCGCAGATCTTCCCGAGGTTGTTGCGTCGAACATTGTCCCCGAAGCTATCAACAAGGTGGACTACAACTTCTTTACTCCTCAATCTGTGAAACGTAAGTTGAGCAATCTCAATTACATTGTCTATAGAGGTGCTGATCTGGCTGGATAGATGCCAAAGCCTACTACCTACATCATATCATTCACGACTGGTCGGATGAGCCTGCCCGAAAGATTCTAGAAATGCAGAAGAGCGCTATGAAGCCTGGCTATAGTAGGCTTCTTATCCATGACCAGATTCTCGATGATGAGAAAAGCCAGATGTCTACAGCTGCCTTTGACATTGCGATGATGGTCTACCTAGCGGGTCAAGAGCGCACCGAGAAACAGTGGTTGGCTTTGATCGATTCAGTTGGACTGAAAGTGGTTAAATTTTGGAAGAAACCCCCTGACCACTTCAGCGTTATTGAGCTTGAGTTGCCCTAAGAGGACTTCTCTATAACTCTTTTAGATGTTTGAGAGCCTTTGTTGGAGGTTTTTTAAAATATTTCTTAATGATTATTTGATTGACTTCAGATTTCTTTGAACGACGCAACATCAAGATGTCAAGCTGTATTATGACATGATTACGTGGTCCAAATAGTACCGACAAAGTCAGTACATGTATCTATTGGCATCCATTGATGGTCCAAAGAAACCTGTAATTGGTTTTGATTCGCCACAAGTATGAGCTCGTCATATGCTATAGTAACAAATGGTTTCTTGAACTGTTAATCTGCTATGAGTGCAACATTTCCACCGTGTCATTGACTAAGAACTTGCGAGCGCTTAGTATGCTTAAGCAGATTTTGTAATTGTACTATCCGGAAACGCCATGCATCCTCGCAGCCGACAACGTACTGATATAGCTGTACTTACAACCCACAGATGTGGGGCTTGGACCGAAGAAACTAGAAATGCTTCATCTCCACGGCGACCTCTCCCGGGTCTCCCTGCCTCGAGTCGTATATACTCAACGAATTTGTGCTCCCAAACAACCCGCCATCAGCCTCAGGGCCGCCGATATACCTGTCTCCAAAAGCTACAAAGCCATCATCTCGTCGACAGTATGCCTCAATGACACTTGCAATAGGCTTGTGCGGGAAAGGCACCATGATACCCTGTCCATGATCCTTTCCATCCAAATACATCAACTCCAGCTCCTCGTTGCCGCTCCATTCGTACCTCTTCCAATCCTCAATGTCATCTAGGGTCCACCTCACGTCGCCTGAGTAGACATAGCTGGCCACTGACTTCGGTGTCGTCACGCAGTCTTCCCCTCCTAATATGACTGTGCTGCGCATTCCGGGCTGAATGCCGTTGCCAAAAATCGCGATCTCATTTGAGGATCCGGAGGCGTAGTATCCGGTCTCCGCGCTGCGAAGACTGGGTGTAAGCATTTCTCTCCACATCAGGGACTCTCTCCAGCAAAGTCTCCGAGCGAGCGTGTAGGCTGTTCCGGCATCCGTGGCGCTCGCCCACCAGATCTCCCATTCGTTACCATGTCCTGTTCTTCCACGGATAGATGGAGTTGGCTCCCTTCGCGTGAAGTTGTAGGCGACATCTGGCAGATGCAGCAACATCGAGACGGGATCTATCAAGATACAGGCGGCGACCCGTGGCGCAAAGTCGGCTCTCTGGAGAAGTTGCGGCATCAGAAGAGTTCCGTAGCTGTTGCCAATCAAGACAAAGTCATCCCAAACGCCTCGCTCGCCCTTTCCTGGAGCGGGTTGTGCGGCACGTTGCTGCGCGACGCACTTGGCGATCATTTCCGCCAGCTCAGGGGTGGGCTGCAGCGGGTATGTCGTGACGCGGGTGGCTATAGGCAGCATCTCAACGGCGAGTATTCCAACGTCCTTGGGAATGGTGCGAAGCCAAAACATGTATGGTATTAGACCAATTCCCAAACCATGTATGAAAACAATGGGACGTTGTGTCTTAGACTTGTGCGGGCGATACCAGTAAGACATGCCGTCGGCAGCGGAACGCTTGAAGGGGATCAGATTGATGAAGCGGAGGGGGAAGACTTTGAAGAATGTTGTGAATGGTTGTTTGTAGTGCCGGTATCCCTGTGTTAGGAGATAGAAAGCCATTAAGTTGTCGAGGAAACCGATGACCTGAGACCATTGGCATTAGCATCAAATTGGCAGGACAGTGTCTGGGTCTCCCCCTTTGTAGACCGTGACAATCACTGCAAACGGGGATTTAAGCCGCTCACATACCACATAGTAGAACAAACTGCGATGTCTGATGATCACCGGATCGAATGTAAGCCTCAATGCCTCCGCGTTACCTCTCCCAGGCTTCAACTTTATCCCAAATTTCTCTTCGGCATCATCGATGTATCGCTCACACTCTTCATCAATCTCTTGGGTCGGCCTCTCGGTAGTGCCATCCCTCTCGAAAAGACCCCACAAGAGCCAGTCTTTGAGGTTTTCGCGACGTATGTCTTCGATGTGAGCGTTCAGCATCCATTTCCGCACAAAGTCTTCTCCGTCTGGCACCAAACTCAGGGCTTTGTAGAAGAGCTGTGCCCGTTGCGATCGGCTCATCGGTGGTGGTCTGTAAGGCTTGAAGCTTTGGAGGTACCATTTGTAAGGCAGAAAGAAAAATAGGTAAAAGAGTATCTCGATCGCTCCTATCACCTCAATGACGATGGAGAATGGATGGACTATGGCTGGTACGCCGCCTAGTGCGAAGATCGCGTAGAAGTATGTCAGACATAGAAGCCCCAAGTCCTTCATCAAGACGATGAGGATGCGTATGGCGATGTATTGTGGCCATGTTTTCTGGACGATCATTTTGGAACGGAAGAGATTTTCGAAAGCGGTTCAGAGCGCCTCGTACGCGGGTTGTATTTTCTATCGACTTTCGATCGTATCGTTGGTTTACGTAGCGCCGTAGTGTCAGGCTGAACGAGCCGTACGCTGTAATGTTTCTCGCATTTGAGGGTTGCCGCTAAAGTCTGACCGGATCTTTTAAAGGGGAACCGTCGACTCAAAAGGCCGTCGAAAACGCGTCACATCCAACCCTCTTTGCAAGTTGCTTACTTGTCGCAAATCCGGCCGAAATGCCAGTGACGTGTAACGGAGGCAAAGAATCAGACGCGGCCAGGGAGGAAACTTGAAAGAAAACGACGCTTCCGTATCCGTGTCGAATAAACGGCGGATGAGGGGTCCTTAACTTGCCATCGGGGTGGAGTCTGATCGGCTGTCAGTCTTTGGCATTTTGCATGATGATGCCGGCCACGGTAGTTTCAAAGCCACTGCCGCACAACGGATGAGCTGATGACAGCTTTCGGGACCTCGCCGCGTCGACGACTAGCGTCGTGTCTGCTGTCAGCCTGCCGTTGTCACCGAAGATTACATGAGCCTTCCTAGAGGGTCTTTGTCCCGGCCGATAGAAACGTAAAACAATTTATAGTTCAAGAGACAAAACAGGCAATCGAAGAGTTGGCCCTAACAACGAACAAGTTCGGCCCAAACCGAGCATGTCGGACCTTGCCGGCATGGATGGCTGTCGGCTGCGATTGTATGGCCAAGTCTGGAGGCTGTCTTGGAAACAAAAGGCTCTGGATTGGATGGGAACGTCCCAACTTTGTCCGTGTCGGTGTCATCGTTCATGTAACATCCAAGTCCGGCCGTGGGTTATCCCTGCGTCTGCGAGGTCTGGGCAACAAGGTGGCTCGGTGAGCGCATGGATCGCAGCCTGTGGGATGAAAGGCCGTGTTCGTTCAGCGAGTTCGCATTATGGGACAAATTTCCCCGCGTCAAAGGGGAGAGAATCCACACGTTGATTCCCTTAGCCCATTGATGACACCGCGGCTGAATCTCAACATGTGGTCTTCGAAGATCCAGCCCTCGCGTCCAGTAGGCCAGTGGGTCCAGAGGCTCAACTCGTCGCATCTTCTTTCAGACTGAATGAAACCAGATCTCAATAAAGAGATCGCAAAACCTGTGCCTCGGTTCTTTTTGGTTCAAGACGACTGCAGACTGCAGTACAACGATCCTGATACAACGCAGCCAGATGTATTGCATGCAAAACATATTCCTCTAATCGGTGATCGGGTGCCGGACTTACGATAAGCCTAAGGGTTCTTCTGCCTTCGCATCCTCTATTGGATCACGACATCTTGATCCGTGGGTTTTAACCTCTTGGTCTTTAATTAGGCTTTGACAGGTCACATCAACATCTTGCATGCAAAGCGGAAGTCTCAATCGCATCCAATTTCAGAAAGTCTTAGTAAAGTAATTAATGTCTATTAGTTTTGCTATTCTATCCGCCTGGCTGTTTTTCGCACTGGGTATGTATGGGGCTTTCCAATTAAGCAATAGGGCAGTTGATGTTGCTGCAGAATAGGTCAGAGCCCGCTCAAGTAATTAGGGAACATTCATTATAGCACTTACGTAGCGTCGTGGCCAGTGATGCCGAAAGGAGCCTTTCCATCGACGGTGCACTTGGCGAAGACACCGGGGACGAGCTGGCTAGAGGTGGTACCGCAGTCAAGGTGCCAGGTCTTGGTCTTGCCGGGAATGTCCTCATCGTGACCGACGCTGATGTACTGGTCGACAATGCCGTCACCAGAGAAGTAGCTGGAAGATTGTTAGTCGCCCAATACAAACAAAGTGCTAACAGCATGGCCATCACAGGAAGTGAGCATGCTGACACTGAACCAACTCACCAGCCGTAGATGACCTGGCGGCTCTCGAGGGCGGGGGCAGCCTGGGCGCCAGCCACAAGAAGGGCGGCAGCGATGGTGGTGAAGGCACGCATTGTGAAGAGTTGTAGTTAAAAAAGGTTATAAAAGAGTGACAGTTGTATAAAGAACTCGAGTTGTTGTAACGACGGTTGTGTTGGCAAGTACATTTAGTCAACAGAGCGATGAACACCAGGCTTCTTATACATAGAATCGACGCTTATGTTGCTCGTATTTCGAGGATGTCTTAGCATTTGAGTTTCCCCCTTACGAGTCCACAGTGGATGCAATGCGACTTTAGCGGAGCTTGCTGTTGTCATGCCGAGATCGACACTGGGCAACTTCGACCATTCAGCTGGAATTGATTCCCGGGGAATCCGAGTGCAAAAATAGCTTGGTAACGGTTCATCCTGTCCCGAAGGCGATTAGTGTTTGATTATGTCCTCACTGCCACCTGCAGTGGGGAAGTTTAGAGAAGTATAATTGAATTGCTAATCTTGATCCGGACGTGACATCCTTGACAAGTCAAGCGCAAGCGGCGGCGACGCTTGCAATTGATACATTTGGGCGCAATGAAGGAATTATAGGATCAACAAAACCATTTCGCCAACAGCTGCATCGATTTATTCATATCTAACAGCTAGCCTCCGACACATCAATTGAAACCAATTCACTCGTGTTCGTGTCATGTTTGGAGTGATCCTAAGGTTTCGAACCCCTAGGGACGGGAAGTCGGGGGTTTGAACATGACTCAGTGAGAAAGCTTCCGGCTTCTCCCAAATTGAGTTTTGCTCAAGCACATGCGGGTGACTCCGAGATCTTCATGAGCAACAATATGCGAAAATTGCAGTTCGTTGTCAACACCTCCGTTGCGCGACGGAAGGTCTTTATTCACCGCCGGCCTCTTGTATGGATGGGTTTACAAGTCTGGGATTGCGTGGTATTCGGCTTGAAAGATCACGAGAAAACAGGCCATCGATACTCATTCAACATTCCAAGCCTCAAGTTAACTTTTCGTGGTTGAATACGCAAACTCTGAGCCGGAGAGGCCGGCAACTTCCACGCCGACAACGCCGATACGGAAACACGGACGGACAATTTGAGAGTTGAGCGATATCTATGATGCAGAAAGTGCGAGCCATTGACATAGAACGTATGCAGAAAATGAAGAGACAGAGCGAGTTAACTCTCTTATTGTCATTCACTGAAACTCACAACTCTCTGGATTGCATGTCTCTTACTCGGGAGATCGAAGACTATTCCGTAACTCGGGCTCCTAAGGTGGCCGAATTGAGAAAGTGGGGCCGCAATCCGGTCCCGAAAGCGACACGCAAGGTCGGCAGCGAAGATCATTCTCATTTGCGGCATAGATAAGCTCGGACGAAACCTATCGGCGTAGATATTCAGCATGGAATTCTTGTTGCATTCCAAGCATCGGCAATGCAACAGGACTGACGACTGAGCTAAGATATATCACGTTGGCGGCGATCGATCCAAGAACTCAAGTGAATCGTGACCTGAACTACTGTTGAAAAACCCTGCTTCCTTCAACTTCCTCCGAAATTTCAAGCAACTATTCCTCGAACTTCTCCATCTCGGTCATGATCGCAGAATGGCCCCCAGGATTACGCAACAACCTCTTTAAGTTCGGAATTGTGGATGCGATCTTCTGCTGAAGAGCTGGCGAAAGGCAAAGATCTTTCTCGCACAAGATGTAGTAGGTCGAAATGTTCAAATCTTCCATGCAAAATGTGACAGGTCCAGCGAGAGCCGCCAATGACTGTGGCTCTCAGATAGCCATGTACTTATTAGCCATTTCTTCTGACACATCAGGCTTGTAGAGAACGTCTTTGGCAGCCGGTTTGCCCACCACAATTCCATTGATAACGCTCGTGATATCCAGCTCAGACGTTATAACATCAAAAGCTCCACCACCTCTTGCCGCGGGTACGACTGCCGTGATGAAGACGACAGCAGCGGTACCGCCTCTCTTCCCTTTTGCCTTTCGGTCTGCCGTAGAAAACCCTTGCACCGCCGCCACCATGAGTGTTCCACCATGTGAATGCGCGACACAGAGAAATTCTCGCCCCTCTTCCAAGTGCGCGGATAGCTCTCACTGGATTTTGCGGGCGTCATCGTCCATGGTGATGGTCGGGTCGGTGCCGAGACTTGGATGACGGACAGCAATTACCGGGAAGAAACCGGCGGCTTCTAGACGGGCCTTGGCCGGATCGAAACACGTCGGTGTGTGGATTCCGCCGTGGGCAAGCAAGATACCCAGCTTTCTCGGAGCTGCGGTGGTAGACATAGCAATGATAGACGTGCCGTCGGGCTCACTGCCGTCTTTGTCGCGGGATCGCCGATGAAAGGTATCAGGTTGTTGGGCGAGTCAATGAGATGGCAGAAAAGCTTTAGTGGCTGTGTGATGCTCAGTCCTTTTGAACAAGTAGGGAAGAGATGGTCTTGTTAGGCACTGGTTTGGGTGGCGCTTAAGCTGATGAACATGCTGTCAGAACCATTTGCTATGGATATGTTTGTCTTTATTCCGAATATGGAGCGTCCCGTGTCTATCATGCAGGGGATTGTTGGTTCCAAAGATGACTGCGGACCAGGGTTGCCTCTGAGCCCTATTTCGGGCTGCGTCTCTGTCATTAAGATCAGCAGGAGATTGAAAACCCATTGAAAGATGGTGAAATCTGACCTGTGCCGTTATTTTCCTATTTTACATGCCATTAAAGTGCAAGCAATTCAACCTTGCGTGTTTCGCTGCCCCTCTTCTGCCACATAAGTCAGACTCGGACGATTTGAATACTTAATGTATGGCCCAACCGCTGAGGTTTTCTCTAATAGACAACCAGTTAGCAACTTTGCCCAGATTGCGCGAGGTTGATCGAGTCTTCAGCCCTACACTTGTGGTGACTGGTTTCGCCATTGACATTGAAGATCAGGCCTGCCTTGGCTTCATTGTGTCTTCTTGTCCCAGTTGGGCTGAAGAGTGCTGTTTACAAATCTGCTTGAAATGTCGCGCTGTGACAAGGGCTTTGATTGGGTTTCTGTGCAGTCTTTTTGCGAGACAGCCAATGCGCCTCGCCCTACTGATCATGTGCTCCTGGTGCCCGTTCCAACAAGAAGCTGCACCATCTCGCCCTGTCATCGCGTACCGACGTCCAATGGGAGCCTGACAAACAAAATGGTTTCTTGTTGGGCCACCCCAACCCTGTAAGCATGTGGCAGTCAAGACAGGGGATGACAAACCGACCCTAATCCAGACTTCAGAACCGATCGGCCCCCTTTCCTTAAACGGAGCCGAAAGGCGAATCCTGAAATGCGATGAGCGTCTAAACGACATGGTCTTCCTCGAGTCACCATCTTGCTGATGTGATGTCTCCATTGTCAATTCGACGACCCATCTCATGATGGGCATCGATTCAAGATCTTCAAGCGAAAGCATTGCGTGGGCTCTGATAGTTCCACAAACAATACTCAGTGTTATTGCCACCATCTCGGTAGGCGCCAAACTGCATTTTGGCCGCGCCAGCGAAGCCCGTTTTAGCCCTGCAGATGGCGTTTGCCTTGCAGCGTTGGTGAGTACGGTACGCTTTCAAATTCTTGTACTTTGACTGACAAAGATTGGCGTTGGAAGTTCTCTAATCATGCGTTCCTCATCACCGAAGGGGCTTGTAAGTGTTCAACTTCATCCAACAAAAACAAAATGGGATCAAATTCAAACTAACGATTCAAATTAGCCGTTCACTTTGGTCTTGGAAAAGACGTAGCCACAGTTGGGGCTGACTATTCTGGCGGCATGCCCCCTGTGCTCAAAGTAGGTCATTCGGCGTCTCTGGTTCAAACTCTCGTGTATCACTGGATCTAACAGTATTCAGGGCATCACCGCCATGGGCGTCTTATACGGCATAGCATGCCCTCTCTCCAAACTTGCGGTCTTTGCTGCGTACTTTCGACTCTGCTCAAGTTGCAAAGCACTTCGGATTTGCGTGTGGATGCTATCATCCATGGTATTAGCATGGGGAATTGCCATGATTCTTGGCACATGTCAGTATAATCGCCATCTGCCGTGATTGCAACCAACTAACATTGAAACAGTATTCAAATGCACGCCTGTCCAGGGGTTCTGGGACAAGACTGTCCCAAGCATTTGCTACATACGCACCGAAGTTGGCATCGCTATCCCAAACATCTTCATTAACGCGCTGGCCACTGTGCTACTTCTTGTGGGAGCTGTATGCCAGTTGGAGTTTGGGAGAGAAAGAAATTTGGCCATGGCGACAGTCTTGCTGTTTGGTACTGGGTAAGTGAGCTAGAGTTGCTTTTGCCTTGACTAGTGGACATGAACTCAGAAGCCTGACAATTTGTTTACTCTAGCATTGTGGCCGCTTCCATCGTTCGCCCAATCCTTTTCCATGTCTACCGCCTGGGATCTGGTGCCAGCAATGGCGGCAATGCCACCAACATCAGCCGAGTCATCGTCTACCCATACATCGGGTCATCCATTGAGACATGCCTAGCCATCATCGCCACGAGTCTCCCTACCTCCGCGCAACTCTTGAAACGACATATTTGCAGCAATTCTGAAGATTTTTCGCGTCCCAAGAGCATCGATTGTACCAGCCAAAGATCCGGACACTCTAGGAAGGCACACAGCGTCAAGCCTTCTACCTATTCAAACAGCACTCGCATCACCATAGGCAACACATCGAAGACCCGGAATGCAGGCGGTGTTCTAGCAGCCTGTGTGAAGCACAAGCGGCCCAGGGAGCTTGGCAGCGATGCCGATATCGAGGGTTCGTTTGAGAGACTGGAAGACGGACCGCGGAGCTCACAGGCATCCACAGACGTGCTGTACTCTGACAGCCGAGACCTGAGCAGCATAGAGGGCATACAGGTACAGCGAGAGTTTCACATACAAGTGGACCGTGAGTCGAGGGTAACGGCTGGGGACACAATGAATTGGGTGGTCGGTGATATCGCTCTGAAGGAATTGCCAAGTCCGCCAAGGAAAACGAATAACTGAAGCAGAAAGTTGTAAAACCACCAATCAATGAAACTGTTTACCCAT